TACCATCAGGTTATCCGTCATTGTTCGTTTACCGGCTTATCCCATAAAAAAAGTAAATGAGTAAATTAATAAAAAACAATTTAGTATGTAGAACGAAACAGAACAACGACAAAATAACCTAAAAGAAGGTATTTTTACAAAATAGCTTGGCTGAAGTTTCAGCGCTACATGGTTAAAAGTGATGAGGTGAAGTGATTGTTTCAGTTCACGTTACAGCCTCACTTCCACTGTATGAGCATTACCTTAATAGAATTATTTACAAGCTTCCTACTTCAACAAGAAAAAACACTTTTTCAGCCTTTGTTCTTAAAAGCCTTCAGAAGGTTCTGTCGTTAAAAATTCAATAGTGAAAAATTCTAGACTGAAATATCCTGAAGAATTAATAATGGGTTCGGAAAACTTTTTGAAGTAGATGCTATATTAGACTCGACTTAAATGAAAAGGCTTGTTGATCACACTGCCATCTTAACAATAGAATACAAAGAATTGGAATTAAATCCCTTAAATAAAGATTAAAAAGAAAAAAAAATACTATAGAATAGTTAATATATAGGTACAAATAGTCATAGCTCTAAGAAATAGTTATAAATTTCAGCTGACATCAAATTTTGTAACGTTTTAAATTGCTGCGCCCTAACAGGGTTATGTACTGAATTAGTTGTATGTAATACTTCTTATTATAGAGGTATGTACATTGTGCAATATTAATAAATAAATAAAAAGGAATTTGTCGACAGTAAGATATCAAACATATTTTGTGACGTTAGTAAAAAATTATAATATGGTTTTAATTTTGTGTAACTCGTTATGGAGTTAAATTAGATAGTGTTATTGGAGGTTCCCAAATATAGGTCATATTGAATGCAAGTGGAGACTTATTGTTCGGGGTAGAGGATTAACAGAGCCTTTGTTCAGCAGTGACTGTGGTAGTTTTCTTGCTTGCTGCTGCCGAAGTATGATAGTAGATGATTATTGTGATGCTTGGAAGAAACGTCCGTATGTCACACGTATTATTAAATACACCGAAGAATCCTACAAACTGTACCAATAAAGGCTTTCGTGTAAAATAAAAACAGTCACAGCTACTTAGGTACTATTTAGGTAGTAGGGTGAGTTCGCCTGTTCACGTCCATTTTGCTGATCGCCATGCACACAAAAAAAACCTAGAAAGCTATAAGATCAGACAGATGTATACTAGGCTTAATATGTCGTGATTTTTTAAAGGGATTTTTAAAGGGCGTTCCGAAACATGGACACGAACAAGCGAACTTACCCTATATGAGTTCACAAAGAGAACGTTGAACACTCGAACAGTTTATATATTGCTCATTCGGAGAGTCAAAATGAAATGTTCGCTCACCTACAAAGAGTCACCGATATTGCCAACTTGACCTCTACCTACCCTCCACATCTCTGTGGGTTTTTCCTTGCTATTGTCGCAATTTATTCTGCTTACTATTCTTTAATGTATTTGTCAAAAAGTTACATTATAAGACTAAAGAACATTCTAAGTAAGTACTTGATTACATTTGGGAAGGTTACTGAGACTCTTGGTGTTTGAAGTTAGTATAGTTGCAATGATGTTAAAATCGTGTTGATAATTTGTAAAATGTTATATGTGGATGCATTGTTATGATAATTGAATCTATTTCAGTCATAGTTATCAGTCTTTTAGTCATAAGTGTTACTATTATTTCTATTTCTTTAATCTGGTTATGTAAAGTAATTTCAGTTTCAGTTTAATTATAAGTTGTTTATTTTGTATTTCTATTTGGTAACAACTTGGTTTTGGTTTGGACTGCCTCGTTGGCCGAGTGGTCGGAAGTGCGACTGCCGGGCAAGGGGTCTCTCGAGTTCGATTACCGGGTCGGAAAAGTATTTATTTATTTATTTAGGTATTAAGGAAAAACAAACAGTATCATATTACAAAATATACATAATTCAGCTTACACATTATACTTGGCAAATATGCCCACTGCGTTTTCCACACAGTATTTTTAATATTAGATCTAGAGTGATACAAACATAGGTACAATTTTCAAAGTAATACTGGGTTATTTAAAAAACATTCTCAGTAGCAGCACGGAGTCTGGAATTGTGCCCGGTATATGGCAATAGGCTCATCCTCTATTACATGGGACTCATAACATGAATAATGAAAAGTGGGTGTTACATTGTACACTGGTGTAATGTGCACCTCTGCCTACCCCTTCGGGAATAAAAGGCGAGATGTTGTACCTCTGCCTATGCTTTCGGGGGTAAAAGCCATGATGTTATGTTATGTTATTTGGTTAAAAATAAATCGATGCCTAATTCAATTTTATTAGAAAATTTAGCACAGAAGCCTATCCAAATAAAATCGAATATACCCTGTAAAATGGACTTCGACCTAGACCACAGGTATTAACTGTGTAGTCGACTACATATTTCTCCCAGTTTAACTAACAACTAAGTAAAGTTGAGTCGTAAGTTAGATAAGAGAATGAATAGTTAATCTAAATGATTCGTCGGGTCAACAGTTCGCCAAGTTCATTTAACTTAAACGATAACAGAACAGATAGATATTTACGTATAGTTGCAATGGAGACAGTTGTCTAACTTCTTTTATTAAAGACTCTTTTATTATAGAAAGCCATGTAATTGTATTTTTTTATTCATTAAAAACACCGATTTCCTCACGTGTATTAATGAGAATAGCTCTACTAATTTCGAGTTACAGAGGGGCTTTTCTTCATGAGCAGCGTGCGTAACGCGGTGGCCTCACGACGACGTTGATAAAAATACATGACTATATAGTCCTGTCCTTTTGGGCACCACACAAGTTTTAGTATACGAAAAATTTGTATTAGTAGTATTTCTAATCATCTCTCATTAGGATTTAGTCTTGTGCCGCGATCTCTTCCTACGGATTGCATAAATAAATGTAATGGTTACTTGCTAACCGAAACAAAAATAAGACAGCCATTACCATAACATAGTCTTTTTTTCTAAAGAAACAGAAAATTTGTTGTTCTTAATAAAGCTTAAATAAAACAAAATCATGGGTAAAGTGAATAAGGAAAATTTTTAACTGCGTTCCTTGCAAAATTCAACATACGAACATACATACATAAGTACCTACTTATATAACATATACCTACTGAACAAGTTCGCGGAAATTAAATGAAAAAGAGCAAAGCGGTAAAACCAATTCTACTATTCAGGTATTTAAAATTCAATAGACGCGTCGAATTTCAGGAAGTAGACTGCAAAGTGCCACTTTCCAGCGAGTCCCACTTTTTCAGGGAACGATTTGACTTTAAAATTGTACAGTAGATATCTAGTACTTGGATATGCAGTATGGTAATTCGAATTTCCTCTTGCTTTTCAATATTTGAAATTTTATTTATAGGTGGAATTATATTATATTAGCTTCTGCTAGCGGCTTTGCCCGCGTTCTTATGGAGGAATAAGTGGCCTATGTGTTAATCCAGACTATAATCTTCCTCAGTTCCAAATTTTATCTCGGTTCCTTCAGCCGTTTTGACGTGGAGGAGTAACAAACAATCATGCAAACTTTCGCATATACTATTAGTAGGATTGTCGACATCACAGGTCTTGGTACAAGTTTGATTACTGCTTTTAGTCTTAGTTCTGTCTTTATAATATTATAAAAGAAAGTAGTTTTAGTTACACTATTTATATTTTACAATCGATTTGGATGAAAATTGGTAAGGAGATAGCTTAGAACCAGGAGACGGATATAGTACATTGGATGAAAAGTATCCAATATTTTTTTTTTACCGAACATCACGAACACGAGCGGGAGAAGTTAGTGATCAATACAATTGCTCGATTGATTGATTTAGTCAAAATTATTATAAATATGGATTGTTCATTTCTTTGCTTCGAATAATCGAGTAAAAATGTATTCACAATTCGTTACTGATTCATAAGTATAATTTCTTTTCTTCTTATATTAGATAAATAATTATTATAATAAAATTGAACTTAAATTAGTCCGTGGTTTCCTGTCAGTTATTAATACAATATTATTATTATAATTAAATTAGTTTCAATACAAGTGCAAAGGTTTAACTATAGATTTTAAACGAAACATTAATTAGTTATTCAGTGATAAAGTGCTGGTTCAATCAAATGTATTTATGGTAATTATTTTCAATTAATAATTAACCAGCGGCATCACATAATATTGTGTAATTAATAGAGACACATTATCATCTGTATACTGTATATTGTTTACATTATTTTGATATTAAATCTTTTCGGCTGATTCACGTAATTGTTTGACGAGGAACTCAACTAGTTTCAAGCCATGTTAGAAGCTCATATTCATCAGCAGCATTCCGCGACCCGCGACGCGACGGAAGAACAACTATTTACTTAATATGGAAGAACCTATTTTTTGTTTATTAAGGGTGATAATTCAGATGAGAATAATTCGAATCACTGATACAACACTTGTTCGATCATAACTTGTTTTATTAACATTGTTTATTGTTTACCCTTATTATTTTTAACGAAAGTTGCCGAGTGCAAGGGGTCTCGGGTTCGATTCCGGGTAGGGCAAAGTGTTACTGGGTTTTTAAAAAAATCTCAATAGTAGCAATGTGCCCGGTATATGGCAATAGGCTCACCCTCTATTACATGGGACTCATAACATAAATAGTGAAAAATGGGTGTTACTTCTGTGTGCACCTCTGCCTACCCCTTCGGGGATAAAAGGCGTGATGTTATGTTATGTGTTATGAAAGTTATTATCTAGAAATATTATTTTCTTTGCAAAAATGTTTATTACTTTGTTATTATGCTAATTACAAATAAAAAATAATAACATAATTTTATTTTATTATTGAACGCCAAAAATCCCCGTATTATTATTTGTTATATTAATTGCAATACCAATGTCTGTATCATTGGCAATTCCGAAGTAATTTGAGATAACTACAATATTTTAGAGGTTACCAAAGTCAAGCTTGTTTTATTAATTTATTGTTGTAGACAAATATTACAAAAAATACAAGTAGTAATAACTTTTATATGAAAAAATGTTTGAAAATTAGTAATTTAAAGTTCCTACGTAGACACGAATATATGGCAGTTGCCTCGTCTTGTTTATTTTTATGTGCGATGTAGAAAAAGACATATGCAGTATGTAATTAAAATATGTATATGTATAAACTTCTTATACACATGACACTATCTGCTGCGATGTAAAAAGTTATCAAACATTTTCTTTAAAAAACTCCTCGTAGGGACTAATCATCTGTTTGACATCTAGTTCCTTGAGGAGGTCGAATTCTTCGCTTCCCTCTTCGCTTACCTCTTCGCGTACCTATTCGCGTACCTCTTCGAACCGTTTCACATTGGGGTCTTTCTCACAGACAAACATAGACATGGCGTTCATGGCGCGGTCGTCGAAAGTGCCAATTCTCATAAAAGCCCCTATATTCTGCACACCCTGGAAGTTGTCCGGCTGACCTGTGTGCCAATTCATGAACACGTTCTCTATTTTCTCGCCTGTCAATACACATAATTGTCAGATTTCAGTAAAGTACAACATAAAGTAACATAGGAGCCTGTGAAGTGGTTTCTAGAAGAAAAAGCAACACAATTTAGACTGAACCTTTCCTGACTGCTACCAAGTCTCTAACGGGTGGTGCTTAATGAAATACATATATGATTTAGTAAATGATGTTTTACAGAAAAAGTTTTATTAAACTCACCGTGGATAGTGATCCAAGTACGTTCAGGTCCCCAAGCCTGCAGGCCCACGTGGAATCTTTCATATTCGTTGTCTTTTCCTGTCCGTTTGGGGAACATTTCCTTGACGATGGCAGCCTCTGTGGCGTCGTTCAGGATAAGCAAGTAACCTCCCTCAGCAGCACACATCTTGAACGCGTCAGACCATGTCCTTTTCTGAAGGTGTGTTTTATAGCAGCTGCCAGTCTTCTCGTTAAATTGATACGCTAGAGAAAAAAAAATATATTTCGCTCAGTAACACATATTTCACTTATACATTTTGATCATCATGTCACACATAATTTATAGCAAAGCAACCGAGTACCCAGTTATTGCGCCAACATTGCATAATAAATATTGAATTTTAGCATTCATGAGGAGTTTGTATAAGTTTAAAGTACAACTGACTGTTGAGAACTAAACAAGAAAATGGATCAAAATGGATACCCCTGTCCAATTTCTAACATTTTTATCTAAGTTGATCCGTTTTCAACAATTTTGATCCATTCCTTTATCAAGTGTTTGGACTTACCGTCATCAAATGTTCCGCAGGTGTTCATCGTCAGATTGTCCAGCTTCTTGTAGCAGATGTAGGGCCGAGGTTTAGTGCACTTCGTCAAAATTGCGAGACCATCACGTGTCATGGCGAGGCAGTCGCCCGTACCCTTGACCTTGCTCCAACTCAGAACTAAACTGTCCAGCGGCACTCCTGGAGACAATAGTTAACCATTTACAGTGACAGTTATATAGGACTCATAACATATCCAGGTTTACACTCATAACATAAAATAACATAAAGTCATTAACAGTTTAAACTGTCAAACACCAACCTATTGTTCTATAATTGTGTCTATAATGTCGGTACTCGACGAGTTAATGTAGGTCATACATCAGCTACAATTTTTAATGACTTTATGTTATTTTTGGGCGTAATATAACACAAAATGTTAGCCAGATTGGGCCTCTGAGACCTACCTGGCCGTGCGCTGCCTAAACCATAGGAGCTACACTAATGTAATGTACTGCAAGATTGTTTATCTTAATTAGTTCTAAGTAAAAGGCACATTTGTTCCTTGTATGTGGAAGTCACTATGGCGATTTTTAAGAATACTAATTACGATTTATCTGAAAACGGATAACTGACAGGTTACTATGGTAATAAACCTGATTTTTTTTTAACCACGAAAATGAATTAATTTCGCAATAAATGTAACCTAAGTACTGAATCGATTCTAATAAAATTTGTTACAGTCATACAGCCGTAGAATATACCTTGGTAAAAACTAATTAAAATACTCAATTTTTACCAGAAGTCATTATTTTACGCGAACGAAGTCGAGGGTAACAGCTAGTGTCAATAATAAGTATTACTTCGACTTCTATAAGTAATAAATAAGTATTATTAACTAGTACGAGTATGACGCACTTAACATAAATTACTTGTTTTTTTCCATTATTATTAAACTGTCAAACACCAAGCGGTCACCGGTGACCGCAACCTATTGTTCTATAATTGTGTCTACAAAACCGGTACTCGACGAGTTAAATGCATGTTTGGTGCAGTAGATGACCGGCTGCTGTGCAATGCGTTGCAGGTTCGAATCCTGCGCTGGCCAAAAAGTTTTTATGGCATTTTCTGAATAACAATGACTATTATTAGACCGAAGTCAGGAAGTCCGGTAATGCTTCACCACCGTGTGTCGGAAAGCACGTTAAGCCGTTGGATATGATCTTTGTGTCAGCTTGCCGTCCCATCGTATTCAGAGAGTGAGGGAACAGAGAGTGTATTTGTGTTTGCGCAAACACTTGTGCACTATAAATCTCCTGCGTAATAGGCTTGTCTAGTTAGACTACCCACTGTGTCGAGATATATATTATATATTAGATCGGGAGGAGATTTATATTATAGTCGCAAATCGAGCTAATTTAAACATGTTTGAGCGGTTGTGTACTTGACGAATAAGTACAGTACATAAATAAAACAAGTCTAACATGTTTACCTTCCACAGAAAAATAGTCTCCTTTAGAATTCAAATCGTGTGTCCCCAAGTGGATGGTTTGGTCCAGGTCTTTTCTTAAGGTCTGCTCCAACAGGGCTTTCCCCATTTCCTTAGTCAGTGGGGACGCGAGCACAGCGCCTGGAATATAAAACATAATACAACTTTACAACTTAACTGTAATAAAACTGAAGGGCCTGCAGCTGTAGCCAAACGTCATTTAGCGCTTGTCTACATGCAGAATATTAATATTAATATTTTTACCCTCGAACTATAATAATGGAATCATTACAATGATTTCATATGTATAACATTATTAAATTATCATAATATCAAGCATACATAACCTACTTATTGTTTTAAAATACTTAAAAAGGCTTACACAGCCTGTAAAAGTGTTGTTATTTAAAGACGGAATTGTGACTTGTATAGTAAGTTTTTCAATTTGTGTACACCTACTTATTTTAATAAAGAATTTTATAAAACAAACAAACAAAACATGCAGAATAGAAAACCAAATTATATGGAATTGACGTAAATTTTGACACTTGTCAGTGTCATCCTCCTACATTAATTTTTCTACTCTCTCTGTAGACAAGCGCTGAAGTGGCGTTTGGCTAAAGGCCCTGGGCCTCTAGCCAAAAACCACTTTAGCGCTTGTTCTTTTACCTATTTTTTATATCTGGTACCTATAGTATATTTGCTTTCTCTGACCGTACGTGTACTGTGTTTGTTTGTAACTAATATATTATACAGTATACAGTAGCAACAGCACTACAGCAGAGATATAACAAATGCGTTGTTATGTAGGTAGTTCATGTACAACCGATCTGGCTAACTCTTTTTTTATATTGAGCATGTTACAGTTAGAGAAGGTTCCTACGTAAGAAAAAACATGTTTATGAAATAAGCCAGTAAACTAGCAGACGGTACCTGATGATAAGCAATCGGCGTCCCCCATTGACACCTGGAACACCAGAGGCGTTACAAGTGCGTTACCGGTCTTTTGGGGATTAGGATAATTGTAGGATTGAAACAATAAAGATGCACCGTAAAGTTTCCAAGGCGAGCCTGAATTCGCGGATTTAGATTCCAGGGTATGAAGTGTTAGCGTTGTACTTACCTTCATAGTGACATCGAAGGAATGCTTCCTCCCATGTGGCGGGTATCGTGTGCACTTTGAGCCAACCATTTACGGTCGCATTGTACAAGTAGTCGGGTTCACATTGTGCATGTTCTGTAATCAGATCGAGGATACAGTATATCGAAACAAAATAATTTAAAAATTACTAGAAAGATAAAATACAGGTAATAAAAAAAACTTAGTACACAAATGCATAATATACTAAACCTCCAAAACTGTTTAAATATCATAATTAAGAGGTCAATCTGTATGTCACAAAATACAGACTAGTTCCAAAGAGCTTATGATGAATAATCAGCTCTTTTAGAATATATCTCGCCCTATTCACTTAAACATAGAAATATTTCTATCAACAGAAGTACACACTAAGAAAAAAGTTCTTACCCAAGTTTAACACGAAGAAGCACGACAAACAAATTAGATATATATTCAACATTATTGTGTACTAGATCGGTTCACTGACCAAGGCGTAATGTCTTCGTTCTGAAGCACCAAAAGGTATATATATGTAAATCCTCACGGTGACATATCAAGCTACAAACCTAGTGTCGAACGGATGAAAGATAATACAAAGCGGGACGATATTGAAGTGGTTTTTACGCCTTGATGTGTGTACAAACTACAAACTTGATGATTAACAATACCTAAATGGTTTTTACCCAGCTTACACATCTGTTTGGTTCATGTGCGCATCAACTCCAGTATTGTGTTTTTATAATAACAGAAATACAGTGTATCTACTTGTAAACAACTACAGTCACCAATTTAATCACTTTTATTGTTTTTGTAACTTATTCGTTTCAGTCTTTCTTTATGCATAGAGACTGAAACGAATAAGTTAA